TTTTGAATATATATATATATATATATATATATATATTGGTGCATTTGGTTTTACTTATTTTTTTTATTGGTCATTATCTATTTTAGCAATCGAGGTAAATCTTACCGTAATGTTATTACTAAGTTTTGTGTTATACCATGATTTCAAGGTAGGAAAGATGCATATTGTTTTCACGGAATTTAATTTGAGTTGTTTTCATATGCATATGGTTAAGCTACATATAATAAACAATCATGAGGTTTAGTGAAATAATTGACGAATTTTAAAGAGAAGTGGTATTTGATAAATTAATAATTAAGTTGATGATCTAGTAGTGATGCATGACAAAAAAATTAGTTCCGACAATTGCATAAAATTATTGACTATAAGGGAAGTCGAAAATTGAGAACAAACATGATAAGTAAACGTTGGTGAATCAAGATAATCTTGTGGACATTTAATAACTGTAATGATGGTAAAAGTTGAAGGGATAGATTTAAGATTTAAAATATAAAAAATTTATTATGATCTTGAATTTTATGCTTAAAAGATGTATAAGCATTGAGACCTTGTGGAAGCTTAATTTTCACATTGAGCTCAGCCATTGATGGGAGCTTAATTTGAGATTAATCGAGAAAGGCTTAACATAATTACTAATGATATGATAACGAACTATATAAAATTTATAATTTGAAAATTTGGTAGTATGTAACAATCATAATTCGTAACAGCTTTAGGTGATGAAATAATAAAAATTTGGTAGTATGTAGCAATCAAAATTTGAGAGAGAGAGAGAGAGAGAGAGAGAGAGAGAGAGAGAGAGTGGCGAGTGAAGGAAATGTAAGACATCAAGAGGGTATTGAAGTAAAACCGTTAACCTTCTTTGATCCAAGCCAGCAACATGGGGTGAATGATTTGTTATAGGCGGCCCTGATGAACACAGATCGATGATGGTGGCCGTCACTATTGAGCTGATCGAGCGATGGAGAGAGGGAGAGACGAGTGAGCTGAGAAAGTCGATTAGCGATTGGGCACAAAAACCCAATCATTTTGATTTTCATAGGACTTCTGTGACCCGGCCGATTTAATTAAAAATCATCCGTATTGAACTTACTTACTCAAAAATCGGCCGATTTAATAGAGATTTTGAACGGGTATGATATTCAAACAATCTAACTTTTAAACCCGGCCGGTTTAAGATCCGATTCACCAAGTTTTAGAGTCAACCCGTAAGGCAGATATAACAAACAATGATCTTATCACTTACCTATTACCACATGAGCTTAAATGCCAAAACAGAAAAAATGGATGAGTGGACAAAAGGTGGATGAAAAATAAGAGGGAAAGTTATATTTTCCTTTGTTGGGTTGAAGAAGGAAAATGGAAAAAAAGAAAATATGAAGAAAAGTCTATACCTGGTGCCCACCAAATTCAGTCCGCCCAAATTTGGGCGAAAATGTGGAGAAAGAATCTGAACATAATGATTGCATTTGCTGAATTACTATTATGCCTTCAAGTGACTGTTAGTCTTACTCTTTTGGAACAATAGAAAACACGTGGGTCCCACCGTTTTTTAGTTCTTTCACCGGACAAAGAAAATAATATAGGGTCCACATTTAATAGGGCATTTACAGTATTTAATATGTTATTTATTTTATTTTTTTTTTCATTCTAAATAAAATAATAAAAAATTTATATATCTTACTTTTCCATTATTCCTATCAAACAACAAACAACAAACAAGAATGAAAGAAAACATTTTTTTTCTCTGATAATGAAAAATTCAAGCTTGTTTGATTTGCGTCTTGAAAAACAGTATTCGAAAACTGTTTTTAGAAAAAAATTCTGAAAACTGATTTTGGTGTTTTTTGTAACACAAAACTTGTTTAATTATATATTTCCAAATACAGTTGTGCAGAACAAAAAAAAAAAGAAAAAAAAATTGGTCTTGCACATGGCAAGAGATGCAAATTAAGGGCCTGTAATATTTTAGTATTAATATAATAAACTTGATAAAATACAAAATAAAAAAAAAATTGAGTCATTGTTTGAACTGCATTTTTGGAGCTTCGCCAGAGTACCCATCGACTAAACTGGTTGCCATCGATTGAACTGATAGCCAAAATAGTCATCAACTAAACTGGTACACGACGGAGAAGACGAACACAAATCTAAAATCCAAAATTCAAAATTCAATATCCATCCAAGATCAAACGCACACAGCATCTGGTACATGTTGGAAAGCCCTCAGTCAACGGTGAAGACGATGAACCCATTTGCCAAAGAAGGACCTTTTCACCGGAGAAGACACAGATCTGAAAAAAATAAACTCAGATCTGAAAAAATACTCAAATCTAAAAAAAACTCTTGATCTGAAGATCTTAGTTATCAAAGAGCTCTCGATCGACAGAGAAGAAGATCTTCAATCGCCGGAAAAAATCATTTCATCGTAGAAGACGTTGTGCGCATCTACTTTCGTCACCAAAGTGAAGAGAGTCTAAGAGAGAGAAGGTCGGAGAGAGAAGGTCGAAGAGAGAGACTTTATACTAGGTAATGTTTTTTGTTGTGAAGAAGGTTCAAAATAGAGACCTCATTAATTTGAAAATACTCTGTTTTACGTGTTTTCATTTACTTCAAAAAAACTCCAAAAAAAACAAAATATTATTCTCTAAAATCACATCTCAATTTCCAAAAGTTTCAAAATATTGAAGAACAAAAAATTTAAACAAAATAACATCTTCCTTGATTTTAGAGATCAGAGAACAAAGACCTATTTTTGAAAACCCGACCAAACAAACCCTCAATTTCTCATATTTTCAATCCATCCTATTTCCATCATTACCATTAAGTTTTTCCAACAAAGGCCGACTACTTGAGCAGCTTAATTCAACAAGCCAAATGATGCTTTTATAGGCAGGTGGAGCTTTCGATTTTTCTGACTTTGTGGATGTGTAATTGCCTCCTTCACTTGAACTAGGCATTCAAGTGCCTTTAACGATTTTGATTTCATCATTCACATATTTGTATGTGAGATTTAAAAGTCAAATCACTAATTAATAAAAATTAAATAATTATTCATATACTTGTACATAAAATTTAATTTTTTAAGATATATATTCAATAGTTTTTATATATATAACACTAGTATACACACAAAAGATGTATTGTAACATTTCATATTTTTTTAGTAGTCAACCTAACGATTAGACTAATGAACTATTGACCCAATCTCTATACCAAATCGATATCCGATCTAGTTCTAATAACATTGTTACACAACAATTCAGTCCTGCATTTTAAAAATCCAAATTTCCCCAAGAAACTGGCAACATCTATTTGCGAAGATGATTAGAATTCTTAAATTTTCCAGTCAATGCAAGTTTCAATAGTACTATTATTTTCTTCAAAGATTATATCATTGTTCAGGTGAATCATTTATTAACTCTCTCTCTTCTACTACTTCTTCTTCTTCTTCTCTCTCTCTCTCACCCTCCCTCCCCCCCCCCCCCCCCCCCCCCCCTCCCCCCCCCCCCCCCTCCTCTTCCGTCCTCCCCTGAATTTGTCACTCGACGAATGTTGTGAAACTGAACGATTTTTGATTGAACTTAGCTGATATGTGAAATACGATATAAACACAAATGACATGAATTAAAAATGACCTGCGACTATAATATGACATGATTCGCTTGACTTTTTTCATCCCGGATTATGGGTCTACATGATAAAGAGAAGAATGGCCCACAATATCACATTCAAATGATCAAATCTCCGGCTAAGTGCCAACCTTGGGAGTAAAAATTTATTGAATTTATTGTCCCATGCTGCAAGACTCCACCTACTTCCTTCCCCAACAACCATAACCTCACCTAACTTACAAATGCACCGAAGGGCTATGTAATATTTGCAACATGTGGCCACAATGAGCCTCAAAGTTGCCTTCTTTGAAAGTTTTTTTTT